TATAATGGAAGGAAACCAGGAGTCAGGCAACCAGGCTTCTTCCCCCATCATCCCTCCTGTCTCCATCCATGACCACTATGTGACATGATCACATTCTCTACCAAAAAAAGTGTGTGTGTGTGTGCGCGCGCGCACATGTGTGTGCTAGTCTGCTCAGGCTGCCAAAACAAAATACCACACATTGAGTGGCTTAAACAACAAATTTTATTTTCTTACACTTCTGCAGGCTAGAAGTCCAAGATCAAAGTGTCAGCAGATTTTGTTTCTCCTAAAGCCCCACTCTTTGGCTTGCAGATGGTCATCTTCTCATTATGTCCTCATGTGGGACCTTTTCCCTGGTGTCTATGTCCTAATCTTGTCCTTTTTTAAAAAAATATTTATTTGAGAGAGAGAGGGAAAGGGAGCAGCGGGAGAGGAGAGAGAGAATCCCAAGCAGACTCCAGGTTGAGTGTGGAGCCCAGAGCGGGGCTCTATCCCATGACCCATAAGATCACAACCTGGGCCAAGACCAAGAGTCAGGACACTTAACCAACTGAACCACCCTGGAACCCCCTAATCTTGTCTTTTGATAAGGAGACCAGTCATACTAGATTAGGGTCATAGCCTATGATCTCATTTCATCTTAATTACCTAGTTAAAGGCCCTATCTAGGGGTGCCTGGGTGGCTAAGTCGGGGTTAAGCATCTGCTTTTGGCTCAGGTCATGATCCCAGGGTCCTGGGATTGAGCCCCAAGTCAGGCTCCCTGCTCAGTAAGCCTGCTTCTCCCTCTCCCTCTGCCTGCAGGTCCCCCTGCTTGGGCTCGCTCTCTCTCTCTCTCTCTCTCTCTCTCTGTCAAATAAATAAATAAAATCTTAAGAAAAAAAAAAGGCCCTATCTCCAAATACATTCACATTTAAGGTACTTGAGGTTAGGATTTCAATATATGGCTTTTGCAGGGGACATAATTCAGTTCATTACAGGTCATTCTAGGATTAACTGACATCCCAGGATTCTACAACCCTCCATTATTACCCCTCTTTGCTTCTTTTCAAACTAACAATACCATCCCGGAATCCTCAGAGAAGGAGGGTGAATAGAATGCTCTGTTTAAACAGTTTAGCAAGGCCCACACAAGATAGGAGGATTTTAGGAGATAGATAGAATGAATTAGATAGATAGAATGATTAGATAGATAGAATGAATTGTAAACCCTCCTTCAAATTTTATTATAATTGGTTGTAGAAATTCTTTTATACAGAGTCATCGTATTTGTAGCACGCCAGACCCACAGGCTAGTTTTCGGGCAGGTCTGATTATTTCTTTAACGTGGGGGAAAGTCCTCCCTTAGACACGTTAAGTCAAGCCACTTCACAGTGGCAGTGTCATTTTATTTTATTTTTTTAAAGATTTTATTTATTTATTTGAGAGACAGAGACAGAGAAAGAGAGAAAAGCAGACTCCCTACTGAGCGGAGAGCCCGACATGGGGCTCGATCCCAGGACGCTGAGATTATGGCCTGAGCCAAAGGCAGACGCTTAACCAACTGAGCCACCCAGGCGCCCCGCCAGTCTTATTATAGAGTGCAACAAGCTGTTATCATGAAATAATTAAAAATTAGCAGTGGCTAAAAACGCAAAGTTCCTGGAGTCCTGTGGGGAAAAATATAGCCTTTAAGTACAATCTCATGTTGTTTTTTCTGGGATACAAGAAGCTTCCCAGAAGCTGTAATATTTCCAGCATGGCTTGAGTGTATTAATCACTTGTTAATTTTGGAAGCTGCTGAATCAACACAACCTCCTCCACCTCTCATTTTCAACTTCAATAAGACGCTGCGGGCCTTGGTGACAACAGAACTGTCCCCAGAACCGTTGACCCTGCCAACAATAACAAGTACCTCACTCTTTCTTTTTTTTTTTTTTAAAGATTTATTTATTCATTTGACAGAGAGAGACACAGCGAGAGAGGGAACACAAGCAGGGGGAGTGGGAGAGGGAGAAGCAGGCTTTCCGCTGAGCAGGGAGCCCGATGCGGGGCTCGATCCCAGGACGCTGGGACCATGACCTGAGCCGAAGGCAGATGCCTAACGACCGAGCCACGCAGGCGCCCCACGTATCTCAATCTTTGAACCTAGCTGAGAACTGGATAATCGTGGCCCTTCCCTGAACTTTGTCCTCCAACCCTTCCAGTGGTTTTATAAATCCCTTAGTGCTGGAAATATCTAGAATGATTTCTCTTTTCCCTACAAATGAACAAAATAATATTTAAAAAGTTCTAAAGACAAATGGCAGCCCATGTAAAGTTAGTATATCTTTAGTTGGAAGTTACAGAAAACAAAACCCGAGGTAGCATAAGAAAGAAAAAGACAAAAGGGGAAAAGAGGAAAAGAAAAAATAAGTTCTCATTACGAGAATTCAGGCTCACTCACAGTACTTAAAACTTCCAATGCAGTCAGTCCTAAGAAAATACTTGTGCAAGTCATTGGGAAGGGCATCAGGAACCCAGGCAAGTATTCTCATTTAGTGCCCTGTATCTTCGCAAAGGTTTTTTGTTTTGTTTTTGCTACCCTTTGTAAATGGCGGAGATCAAGGCAAATTTGTGTCCCCAGTTTTTCATCTCCACCATTCAAGAAGCCAATCCTCCTCTCAAATCCCTCCGTTCCACATCCACATTCCTCAAAAAGAAAATCTGGTAAGAGCATTAGCACTGACAGCAATGCCCCGAGATTGGTGTGGGAAGTTTCCAGAGAGAGTAGATAATCAAAGGAAATAGAGTTTCAGGTGTTCACTGCAAGTGGGGAAACTTTTACAATACATATCTATGTGGCCTGGGTGCTACCTGTGTCATTGTGCAAGTTACTCATACACAAGAACATCTGGTTTCTCCCCAGGAGTTTATGCTGTTCCTGTTTGTTGTTGTCGTCTGTTTGTTTAATGACTTCTCCAAGCTAGTTCTGTAATGTCTGTATTCTTTGTCATTTGTAGCCACTGAGCTCACGGTCTCCTGGGCACGGGCACAACTCTGCATGGATTTGTGGTATTCTGGATTTCCAAAAATATACGTTGCGGTTTTTCAAAACCCTCTGTGGACATCTCATTCTCCAGATTTTCCTTTAGAAATTTGTTTTCAAGGGCGCCTGGGTGGCTCAGTTGGTTAAGCGACTGCCTTTGGCTCAGGTCATGATCCTGGAGTCCTGGGATCAAGTCCCACATCGGGTCCCTGCTCAGCAGGGAGTCTCCTTCTCCCTCTGACCCTCTTCCCTCTCGTGCTCTCTATCTCTCATTCTCTCTCTCTCTCAAATAAGTAAATAAAAATTTTTTTCAAACTCTGTTTTCCCTATTATGGCTGCCACAGCCACTGCAATGGTAAACAGTTAAAAGTGGTTTTCAACAAATACATAGGATTGTTGGTGCTAAGTGAGTTCTGAGTCAAGTGAAAG